ACTTTTCTTTATAATGCAATAAAATCTGGCGAGCAGCTATTTAAACGATCGAACACTTCGTTTGTTTATTTGTGGCTTGAAGTTAGGCTCGCAGAAAATGCCGTTCATGGGTTAAATTTAGTAGGAACAACACAACCTGTGACGTAGGCTATATTATACCCAATTGAACAACCTGATAATGCTCACTCTGGTTATTGCTATCCTACGTGTTCTTGCGCGCCGAATCCAATCAATTAAAAATGAAAACTGTTGCCAGCGCGAGAAAAGAAATATCATCGGTTTTATTGATACATACATACGAACGTATTAGCGTTTTATATAATATAGATAAGGGCGATTCTCACGAAATATGATAATTCACTGTCTCTTGCTCCAAGATCTAATACTATAATACTAAAGGAACTTTTTTTAAAAAAAATTAATAAATTGTATTGCTGTTAGCATTTTAAAATGACTTCGCACTAGCATTGACTGCTTTGTATAGTTAAAAAATTTAATTGAACTTCAAAATGTTATTTTCCTGGTATGTCCCAAACAATGTTTCCAATAATAACTAGCTTCAGAGTTTCCCATAAATTTTTCAATATCTAATTTTTCTTTGTCTCAACTGGTGTAAGCATTTCTAGAATTTACGCATAGGGTATTATTTACAAAAACTTCAGTTAAAATAATTTTTTCTGTCAATAATTTGTTTGTCCCAAGAAAATCTGTCATTTTCCTCGCTACTTTTATTTAGTGGTTTATAACCAAAGTAGATAGAGCCAGCAATCAATATCTTATGCTTATAGATTGATTAGATACCCTCCTACATAAACCTGTCTTGTTGCATGAATGAAGAACCAACTTTCTGGTCCAAAATCTATTTCAAAAAGTTTTTCAAGGTGAGTAGATTTTTGTGTTGTTATTTTCCTGGCTTCTTGAAATCATTCATAAAATGAACTATATAGATTTATCTGAGTTATTTTAAGAAATTCCATTGTTTTTTGCAGAATGTAAACGTCTTAGGCCAAAATATTAAATTAAAGTAAAGTTATATGCTATAAAATGGCGAATTTGTCATTATCCTGGCTTAAGAATTCTAGGACATTGAAGTGTTACCAGAAATGTTTTTTAAATGCTAATACTGTAAGGAGGAAAAACAAATATTAACCTAATACCAAATTTATGTAATATTGTAATATGATTGTATGTAATCAAAGTTATTGATTTATTCAATGATTGACTATTATACATTTTATTCTGTGCATAACAGCAACAAAAAAAATTTGATTCTTTCTACAGTGGATCAAAAGAATTAATTTAAGCAATTTATGGTCCATCTAACATAAAGGCTTAAGTTGAGTTACTTACTATTAACTTAAAATGACTGTTTTATAAACTTGCAAGGTAATATGTCATCTTCCTGGCATTCAAGATTTGGTGAATTTCTATTTTATATTTTTTCTCGAGCAAATGTAATTAAACTACACTGCTGTCTTCAAGATATTAATAAATGTAACTAAAGAAGTATACAAAAAAAAATTTAGATTATTTTGAAGAAATTTTTTGGTCCGAATTGTCATGTTTAAAAAGAATCACCCATAAACCACATTATACAAGTTGAAAAGCAATTCAATGTTTTTTTCCCTCCATCAAATCAAGATGATGGGTTTTATTCTGTTGTATCGGTATTCGTTTCTATCAAATATTTAAGGAGACAAAATCAATTGATAATAAGAGGTTAAAGTTTGGGAAAGAGTCTGGGTTACAAGATAATAACTTTTTCTCGATAAAACGATTATTTCTATTTATGATACAATTTAACGATTATGTTTATTTTTTCCAGATTATTTTTATTTATGAAATAACCAGTTCTAGTTAAATCTCTCTCAACTACTTAATCAACAATTAGCTAGTCTTTAGAAGTTAAAAAAATATCGCTTTCTTTACAAGTTGAATGTTTTTCAACGAATAATTTCCGGTCGCAAATAAAATTCCCCTTAGTTTTCAAGTTGAATGTTTTTCAACGAATAATTTCGGGGCGAAAATACAATTCACCTTCCTTTTTTGATTTTTCGATCATTAAACAAACACATATAACTGAGTTACTGTGCTGCCACCTACAATGAAGGTGTATATTTACCTAGTTATGTGAAGTGAAAAAAGGCAAGCCTTTTCGTTTTTTACCCTATCTCGAAAACTTTTTAAGCGAATTGAAACATTTCCGCACACAATTATGAATTTCGCTTATCCGAAGATGTAAAAAACAACTTTCAGTAAATATTTATTATTCTTTATTATTTTGCTCAATAATAATCGAACACTTTTCGAATTGTAAGGTACGCAGCTTTTTACATCATTTTAAAGAATATAAGTTTACACGGCGGCAAAATACGAGATTTAAGCGAAATCGGTAGAATCAGTCCCATGAAATCGATGCAGTTTAAAAAAGTCATATTTATAAAATTGAATTTCTGAGGAATTATGAGACTTATTTGGCTCAAAAGTTTTATTTTGTCATGTAAAGTTACATTGTTTAAAAAATTGTATACCTTACAATTCAAAATTTCTTCGACTATTATTAAAGGTAATAATAAAAATAATAAATACTTACTAAAATTTATTTCTTGAAGCTAAAAAAATAAAATAAAAAATTTTTAAACTGAATTTTTTAAAAGATCATTGTCGTTGACAAATATATCGTATACACTATCTTTTATGAAATGCCAAAATATTCTGGCGATTGTCTTTCATGCGATTTTGGATCAATAGCTGTAGTTATGGAATCAAGAAGACCGAGTTTTGTCTAAATCTTCCTTAAACATTTTTTAATAGGGGTTAATTCTCAAT